GTCAGCACAGCTGCTGTGACCGATGAGGTTGCTGCTACCACTGCAGCTCCTGTGACTGGCGAGGTGGCCATTACCACGGCAGCTGCGGAAGCTCCCAGCAGAGACAAGGATGATTCTGATGCTACCACCCATGTCGCTACTGAAACTGCAACTGTCATCGCCTCGACCACGATCGATGCTCCTGTTGAGCCTACTACTATCACGTCCCCTCTACCGGTCAGCACAGCTGCTGTGACCGATGAGGTTGCTGTCACTACTCCAGCTCCTGTGACTGGCGAAGTGACCATCAGCACGGCAGCTGGAGAAGCTCCCGGTAGAGACAAGGATGATTCTGATTCTACCACCCAGGTCGCTACGGAGGCTGCGACTGTCACGACTACGATCGATGCTCCTGTTGAGCCTACTACTGTAACGTCCCCTCTGCCAGTCAGCACAGCTGCTGTGACCGATGAGGTTGCTGTCACTACTCCAGCTCCTGTGACTGGCGAAGTGACCATCAGCACGGCAGCTGGGGAAGCTCCCGGTAGAGACAAGGATGATTCTGATTCTACCACCCAGGTCCCTACGGAGGCTGCGACTGTCACGACTACGATCGATGCTCCTGTTGAGCCTACTACTGTAACGTCCCCTCTGCCAGTCAGCACAGCTGCTGTGACCGATGAGGTTGCTGTCACTACTCCAGCTCCTGTGACTGGCGAAGTGACCATCAGCACGGCAGCTGGGGAAGCTCCGGGCAGAGACAAGGATGATTCTGATGCTACCACCCAGGTCGCGACTGAGACTGCGACTATCACTACTACGATCAGTGTTTCTGTTGAGCCTACTACTATAACGTCCCCTCTACCGGTCAGCACAGCTGCTGTGACCGATGAGGTTGCTGTCACTACTCCAGCTCCTGTGACTGGCGAATTGACCATCAGCACGGCAGCTGGAGAAGCTCCCGGTAGAGACAAGGATGATTCTGATTCTACCTCCCAGGTCGCTACGGAGGCTGCGACTGTCACGACTACGATCGATGCTCCTGTTGAGCCTACTACTGTAACGTCCCCTCTGCCGGTCAGCACAGCTGCTGTGACCGATGAGGTCGCTGCTAC